AGTTATTAGGTTCTGTTGTACAAAACTAGGCACACACTAGTAAGTAAACCTTTCCCTGATAGATGACAACAGCTCCTTTGTTTCTCCAGCTCGCACTCGATGGAAGGATTATGCACTCAATCAACCCTAATGGCTCCCACTAAGACAAACCCATCTATTACATCTATTTAACTCCAGGTACACATACTGAGTCCACACGCCAGAATCTGTACAGTGACAAGCAAGCAAATATTTCAAATGAAATAAACTGTTCAGATTCCTCTCTGCAGAGCCCCAATGACCCACAGTATGAGTAGGTATATTTAATTAAATATACAACCCGTTACCTCAAAAAGTGTATATTTCCTGGGTAAAAAAATATATCCATGGAGCATTTCTCTCTCATTTCAAGACATCCTGTACTAGAATCCCAGAATAGCCACAGACCAAGGAAGGGGAAAAAAAAGAAAGAAAAAAAAAAAAAAAAAAGAGTAAAAAGAAAGACAATGTTGACCTATTTAATAGGGAATAAGCCAAGACACTGAAAACCACCACATGACCAACATTATCCATAGAAATCCTCGTGTCTTATCTAGACAGATCAAATGCACAACATGTTATGCAGAATCTTCAGTGGTGTCTAGGGAAGAAAATTTATTTCTGTACTTCTTAATGCACCCCTACCAATTTTTTAAAACAGTTTATGAGGGAACTGTTGGGAGGAAAGGGGGGAAAATTAGAATGGAGATCAGTCTTAGTTGCTGTGCTGTCAGGGGGTCTACTCCAATAATTAACTAAAGAGATGAAAATGGGGAAGCGTGACATCCCAGCTAGCACTGCGTATTAAAAAAAAAAAAAAAAGAAAAGAAAAAAAAAGACTGTTAAGCTCTCTGGAGATATTATTTGTACAATGATTGGTTAGTATTAAAGGAAGCTAAGAAAAAAATTCAAGTACACTAAGAAACACCTGGAAACTATCTTGAGAACACTGCATTAGACTCACTGCAATACAGCTAATCTTATGTAAGATCAAATTCATTAGCCCAGGAAAACCATTTTAGTAGCTCTCCCACCTCTCCGTGTTTGTTTTCCATTGTTACCTGAATAAGAGAAACCTTAAGAAAATCTGCAGTATAGCTAGCATAAAGCATACACTCAACAACACTGCGGGGCCTGGTCCAGAGAGGTGAGTGGAATTAGCTACAATCATTATTGTACTTCATAAAATCATTACCCGATGTATATAATATTTGCAAAATACAAAAAAATTAGTCCAAATATTCACAACACTTGTCAACAAGCACATAAGCCTGAAGCTCTCACTTTTCTCATGTGCATTCAGTGCACTCCCCAGAGCTGGCAAGAATTATGTTCACAAGTAGCAGTACTTGGAAACCATTTTTTGAAAGCTAAGATGTACGCCAGTTTAAGTTTCTGACTACCAGAGGTTAAAAAGCTTACAGTGTCAACTCTGTTGCATACAAGAAATATTTGGAAGGCAGCTGGAAAGCCTGTTACACTATGAGTTTGTTATGATGTGAAGTATTTATCACCTCTTTAAGAATTCGGAGTCAACAATAATATTCGTGAACACCCTGAACACACATTTATTTTCTAAAACGGCGACTCTGAATTGTCCTGCTCAACCCAGTAAAAACTTTATGATGTACTTCATGACACTGGAGACAAGGCTCCTGCCTGCAGAGCACCACAAATGCATATGGCAGATAGAACATGTTCAAGACTGGATGTAACGATGGTAATTTTGAAGTAAGTTGACATTGGAATTAACAGAAACGATCTCAAGTAAGTAACTATCATTGTTTAGCCTTCCTCCCAAAGCAAACCTTTGACCCCATTAACGTTAACGCATGACCCCAGGCAATGATTTGCCTTTATCTCAGGTCAGCGGTGTTTGCCATGACTACCGGCAAAGGAACAGCAAGCCCATGGCTCAGAAAATAGGTCCATAAATCCAAAAGATTCTGTGTGTCTCATTATCTCAGAAGGCTTCAGCTAGCATCAGATGGTATTCCCTCCTGGTTTCTACCCCAAATTCCGGTGACTTTGCAAGGAGAAGGTTAAGGCCTTGTATACTAAATACGTGGTTGTCTGCTTGCATGTGTTGCTTCTCATTTATTTCAGGCCCACCAGGGTACATTAGTACTTGTTATGCTATACAGATCATTGTAAAATGAACTGTTACGTTTTGCAGTTAAGCAGATTAAGAAAATAATCTTGGTTTGGAATCTCTTCTGAAACTGTAAGTGAAAAAAAACCCATGTAAAATGAATCCCTCGTTTTTAAGAAATAGGCAGCTTCTTAGAGTAAAATAAGCCCAAAACTTAACTGCTTTAGGCAAATGTGTGGGACAAAATTGCCTATACACCACCCCACCCCCCCCCCCCCCCCCCCCCCCCGAGTTCTGCAGATAGTCTGAAAAGACTTTTCTCACAAAGGTCAAACATTTCCTTATAGAAACACAATAAACCGACTACAGAATACTAAAAATACTACTCAGTTTTATAGTTAGTCTGTAACTGTCAGATCACAGTATTCTGATATGCTATCACCTTTAATTGGAGACCAAATTTCTAGAAATCATTGAAAGGAGCGAAGAAGTTTATAATCTTTTCACAAGAAAAGAAAACATTTGGCACTGCCTTCTGGTTTTGAAGAGATGTGAGGATATACCACTGACCTAGTAGATCCCAGGTCCATCAAGAAAACCCTCATCATTCCCACGCTGCTCATGGCTGTCTAAGAAATAATGCTGTACGTCCATCTCTCTCCTACCCATAGTTCTTGAACTATGAATGAAGAGCAAGTGGTTTGAAACACAATGCCATTTTCTTTCTTTGCACTAAAAGCTCCTGAAGGCAGAATACTAAATTACAAGTTTAGTGAAACAAAGTTTGGAACCCCACTTTAGGCACTTCAAAATATTTCACAAGTAATGTTGCTCAAGGCGAAATTATTCAGTCTTCCTGGTATCTTGGAAGAGAGCAATATCAAGCTCTCTGTCATCAAGACCCCCCGAGCCCAGCCATGTCATCCTCAAACTAGGCCAAGGGCTACATTTTACATGATGAAAAAAAACTCCTGTACATCACCAGTGCATCCAGTTTGAGAACAAGTGTTTGCCACTTCATTCAGTGCAAGATGTCTGAGAACCCAAACACGCTGCCGAGAAGTAAAACAAAATATTGTAGTAGTAGAATGATATTACAACTGATAACTTTCAAAATATTATTTTCAAACGCATCGTTACAGCTACAGCAGTATTCCTAAAATCACATTTGTACTTAGAAAGATGTTTCCTTACAACTTCTTCAAGATAACAGAAAGTTTGTTTCAAACAACAAACTATCACTATGAACAAATATTTCACAGAAACACATTTATTTTGTATCAGTTGCTGCTACCATGCTTCAGTGTCTTTATTTTGTCCTTCTTGTATAAACCCCAAAGAGTGTTAGGCCAAATTCTGTGTCCTTAAGCAAGTAAGACGGTAAGATAAAAAACTTCAAAAGTTGACCCCAAACATTTCCAAATAAGAAAAGTAAATGTGAGAAAAGTTTAGTCTAGGCCAAGAACAGCTTCTTCTACAGTATGAATCTAAGGCTTCTCCAATTTTCTCCACACTTCATTAGTCTCCCAGGTAATGAAAGCAAAACACAGGAAGCATTATTACGCTATGAATATTCAGCATTTGAGCACAGTCAGTTCAAACTATTCAGATGAGAGAGACAAACGTCCTGGAAAATTAAACTTGTAAAACCATTGACTCAGCCATGACCATCCAAAATAGTGTCGGGCTACAAAAAAAAACCGGTGAGCTCTAGATATACACAGAAGTAAAAACCGCTTTCCCCCCTTCCCCCCCCCCCCCCGGAAGCGCAGCGCTCAAAAAAACCGGCAAACGGTTTTCTGCCGCC